TAGAGGGAGTGTAGAGAGGAAATAACAAGAGCCCTACTTGAGAGGGTTGAGATACGAAGTTTCTTAGCCCAAATCCATGTGCAAAAGTGGAATTTCAGTCTTCTCAGACCAATTCCGTCCCACTCAAGGAATGCTGCCTAGTGGAACCAATGTCACCAAAACAGCTTCTTTAATTGGGAGCTTCTGAACTGCTGCTTTCCTCAAAGCTCCTGGTCATTATGCCAGAATAGAAGCCAAGAGGAGAAATTTTAAGGGAGCATCGGGGCACCCCAAGAGAAAGGAGAGTCAAAATTAGTTGCTAACTAAAGCCCATGTATGCATTTTCTCACCAATAGTCAGAATAAAGGCAAGGAAAGCAGGGCAGAAACTTGTGAGCTCAAACTATGTAGAAAATATGTTTTGGTTTGGCTCCTGTCATGCCAACACCTGAGTGTAGTTCTCAGGTCCATTTTCTAGAGAAACTGCTCAGGACCCAAACTCCCAGCATTGGTATGCTGGTCCCTCCTCTGTAGGAATGAATGAATCCCAGAGTTTCTGGTCTCTGTCTCAGTCCTCCAACACTGAATCCTCCGGAGGCTCTATTTATGTAGACCAGGTAGGTACCCAGAGCGGACAATGGACTTGGTGCCAAGAGAGGTTCCTTGGCCAAGTTTGAAAGAGGAAGTTTCATTAGGAAAAGGAAAAGGCAAGGGAAAGGGTAGGTGTTTGCCCCCGGAACTGTGGCAGAATTGACAGCAGATGGGACTGAAGAGGGAGGCTTGTGGGGTGAATTCAACTCCAGGCTTTGGAGTCAGGGCCTGAAAAAGGACAGAGCAGAAGTTCACTTGCTAGAGATGAGAAGGAGGGGGCAGGCATCATGAAGGATGTCAAGAAAGGATCTGTTTGGTACCATCTGCAGCGAAGTAGTGGTTAAGGTTAAAGCAGAGAGGAGATGACAGGGAGGGAACAGATGGCCAAGAAGCAAAATAGCTGGTGAAACGGGAACAGAGCCTCCAGGGACAGCAGCAGGCAGGACCTCCAAGCAGACTGCTGGAAGCAGCCCTTTCTTCTGGCCAGGGTACACTGGGTAGAAGTGAGTTAGAGA